TGCTAACCAACAAAGACAACAAAGGTGGCTGATCAAGTTGCCACGGTGGACTCCAAACACAAACATCGAGGGTATGGCCGACAAGGGTAACAGGAATAGAAGACTACAACTCCCCAAATACCTAGACGAAGTGGGCACCCAAAATAATTAAGGGCACCCCCCTCGGCCAACCACTTGAAAGATTCCCTACAGCTACGGTTGTCACTCAATACTTAGGAAAATTTTCAAAAAATTCTAAGTATTCAGGCAACAAGGCAGGCAACACCCACACGTGGACGTCGTATAAACACGGAAAGAAGAAAACGTGAAAACATTAAAGTATGAAAGAAGCATTTCTTTTCATTCATTAGATTGGGAAGTACAAAGAGGGCTTCTAGGTCGTTACATAGTAGAATGTCAAAGAAAAAAAACTACAAGGGATCATGACTCTGAAGGGGCTTCAGAGTCCCTCTCGGCCTCGGCTCCCTCCTCGGCCGTGGCAACAGACGTACCGGCAGCGACACCCGACGTCGCGGTATCCTCAAACATGCTCCGCTCATACGCCCAGTCGTCGCTGATGTGTGAGCTCTCAATGGGGAGCTGCCGTTCAGCCACCGGAAGCTCCAACTCTGCTTCAGGATGCTTCATTAACGCAGGCAGCTCAAGGCCGACGACCCACTCTTTGGTCACACCGATATCCAGGAAACGCCGTTGTAGCCTCCTATACAATAGTCGTTTCATCCGGTATTGGCCAAGGTCGTAGAAGACTTTCATATCCTTCTCCCAATAGGCCTGGCCGTCGGGGGATTTGTTCACCCAGTCAACGAGTCTGGCCGCCACGACCTCAAAATAGAAGGGAAGCCGGCCCTCGTCCTTCCAACCGACTTCAAGAAACTTCTGCACAGCGGCATCAGTGGCTTTCTCCTCGACAACGCTAAGAGCCAGCTCTGCACTGACCTTGCCCTTCTCGGCCTCCTCCGCGCGCTGGAGGGCCTCGTCGCGAGCACGCTCCATGTCGGCCAAACGCTGGAGAGCCCCTTCCTTCTCGGCGGCCAGCTGATCGGCCTCGTCAGCCCTCTTCTTCAGGCTTTCAACCTCAAGACGCAACCTCTCCAAGCTGCCTAGCGCCTCATCGGCCGAGGCAACCTTCTGCTCGAATTGCCTCAGGCGAGCAATCTCCTTTTGTTGCCTCCTGTTGTTCTCCATCAACATGAAGGCACCCTGCAGTAAAAAATGGGTTAGACAATATTTCACAACAAACAACAAAGGGGGAGAGGAGACTAAGACGAAGCGAGCAAGAGTACTTACTTGGACGATATGGTCCATCCCACCATCGTACATCTTCACATGGCCGAGCTTCTTCAGGTAAGCCCGGTCTTCGTCAGGGATAGCCTGAGAAATCACCTCGTTGCCGTCAACGATTTCGTTGAACAACCCCCCTTTGACGGGGTACTCCACTTCGAGCTTGTAGGTCCCCCTGACCAGCTCTCGACCAGACCCTTTCTTCCGGGCGGCCGTTAAGACAGCAGGAACGGTGGACAGAGTGGTGGACGACGGGCCCGAAGGGTGGTCCACCACAACATCAGGGTTTGAACCCCCTCCGTCCCCAGAAGGAACAGCCGACGTCCCAGCATCATCAGCAGAGGAAGCCCTCTTTGACTTCTTGGGAGGTTTCATTCCCACCTCGGCCAACTTCTTATGGCCCTCATCGGCCTGCCGTTTCTTCTTCGGCTGTACCGGGGGCTTGGCCGCAGCGGTAGCTCCAGGTTGTTGGGCCTTCAGCTCCTCGACCGCTTTCAGCTGCGCCCTCTTCATAAATGACATGCGATCCATCACAAAACCTGCATCACAAAAACACTAAGGGTTAGAAAAACGGAATACAAAAGTATGACGACAGGAAGCGCATCAGAAAGGACTTACCATCGGCCTCAGCTGGCACCCCCAGATCGGGACCATCAGCCTCCTCGTAAGACGTGGTCATCTTCGGCCACAACTCCACATCGTCGTCAAGATCACCATACACAAAATACCGTACAAAGCCGAGGGCGGCCATTTTGTACTCTGTAATATACGTCTTCACACTCCTCGGCCCTCCTTTCAGGAAAGCCTCAACCTGAGCGTCCAGGATGGAGCCCCTCGGCGTATCATGAAGATTAAAACGGCCGGTATGGCCGACAGAGGGAAACTCTGTGCCCCCCTCGCCCAAAGACACGAACACAAATTTTCCCATCCAGCCATGGATGGACGTCGGCAGGTCAGTAAAACTCCTCTTCTTGGGCAGTTGTTGGAGAGTGGCATACGACGCACAGTTCTGGTGACTCCCGCGTCCTATCTGGTAAAGATTCATGAACAGCGCCGTCGTCGGCCTGAAATCCAACTCAGCACACCGCAGAAGGAAGCCGACGATGAGCGAGTAACTATTCGGCGTCAACAAGGCCGGAGGGAGCCCCATCATATCTAGGTACTCGGTGATAAAGGGATGAAGCGGGAACCTAAGTCCTTTAGAAAAACTCATCGGGTACACTCCGAAGTAGCCCAGGGGTGGATTAAGGACATGGTCCGTCGGCCTGGGGGCCCTAACCCTGCCATACGGCCCTACATACATCTGGGCGACCAGGTATTCACCCGCATTACTCTGCGGTCTGATAACATAGATGTTCGTCAAATCCAAGTAAGAGAAAGCTGGCCCTCTCTTCGGCCTCCTCACCCTCTTCGGCGGCGCAACGCCCTTCACGGCAGACACAGGCTTCGGACAGGGAATAGCAGCCGACGTGGACGCCCCATCAGCAGTTCGGGAGACACCTGCGTCCCCATCTCCAGACGATGACGCGGACCCCTCGTCCACACCGACCTCCTCGGCCGGCTCCCCGGTCCTGAACGAGCTCAGATCCTCAAGCTCCTCATAGAACTCCTCGACCACCTGATAATCAAGGGACTGGGCGGAGGGCTCGTCGTCGTAGGGATAGTACTCTTCGTTGAAGTTCTTCATCTTAAACACTATTTCGGGTATACTGCAACCTACTTCAAGATCTAAGGGTGTTCAAGCGCCTAACACTAGATCACTAGCCTAGGAAGCAAAATATGCAAAGTACAGAGAAGATTTCGATGAACACTAACCTTGAACACGAAGAACACGAAGAACACAAGATTGGGAGTTTATCTCTCTAGAAATTTGGCCAGCACTTCAACAACTCGGATTGCAAGTAAGAAATTCTCGTCGGATGGAGAGGGGTATTTATAGAACCCCCCACCCAACGGTCACTACACGTGGCACCCTCCCAGTGGCCACATCAACGGCCACCAATGGGAGACCACCACGTCACCAATGGGCCAAGCCCAAACTACATATCAAAAGCCCGCTGGCAAATCAGGCTCAACGGAACGGGAACTCTACGGCCAACAGCATACAACGGCACCCCAACGGCGCTCGTATCGGCCACCCAGATAGTCACACCATCCCGAAGGAGATGAACGTAACGTCCATGAGGCCCTCACACTAAATCCTTGATGATAACCCTTTGAAAGCGACCTGCGTCCAAGGGTTCTCCCACAGGGTTACCTTGGTCAGGAAATCGCCAAAGGGTTGGACTCAAGGGCAGTATGAGGATCCCACTTCGGCCTGCGTTTCAATCTACTCCTTCACCCCTCACTCACTCTTCGGCCTGAAGCAGTGGGGGACTGGGGGACTACATCGGCCTCAATAATACAGACAAAGGAAAAATGCACACAAATGTGACCACAAAGCATGGCCACATCGTCCATGTATCACAACGGCGCCAAAGTTTTCGCGACTCCATATTTCCGGCCGGGCACTTTGGACAACACGGCGCCTCGTCGGCCAAAGGCACATAACGTCATCAACAACGGCCAAACTGGCCACCTAAGGCAAGGACATTCATCGTCCCCCGCCAACAGTTAACCATAATGGGCTCTTCGGCCAGGGACACGAAAGCCAGTCAGCAACGGCCAAAAGGAGTGCGCAAGCACCCTTACCGGCCACCCAAAGGAAAGGACACCAACGTCCTCGAAGCAAGGTTCAACCTCAACGGCCTCATCAGCCCAAATATAAATCTCAACCATCAACGTCCAAGAAAGGGAAAACGCGCCTTCAACGGCCACCATCGAAGCAGGACACTCATCGTCCCCAAACGAACGCACCAAGGAAACAACGGCCTCCCCGTCCACAACGAGGAACAGGTAACGGCCAAGCACAGAACAAGATCACCAAAATGGAAACAGCGCCAACGCCTCAACAGCTAACGGCCTGGGAGTGCCCGCATCGGCCAAAGGCACCAAAGCACGGGAATCTACTCTCTTTCGCTTCGTCCACATCTCAGCTTAGAGAGTGGGGGACTCCTGATGGAGTATATGGGTCTGAGCCCCAGGACCCACATACTCAGAAGAACAGAAAGCACAAGACACTGAGTGGTGCCCTCGTCGGCCAAGGGACCCCCGTCGGCCGGAAAGGTACCAACTCAGAATATGGTCCTGAAGCCAAGGAACCCGGGTGCCCTCGTCGGCCGCGCCCTCCTCGGCCGTGCCCTCGTCGGTCGCGCCCTCCTCGGCCGTGCCCTCGTCGGCCACGCTCTCATCGGCCACGAAGACCTCACAGAACCGGATTTTACACTTACTCATTTGTACAGCCCATTAGTGGCTTTGTATTCGGCCCAGTAGCGGTCCAGTTGTAAATGGGCCTCCCAAGCCCAAGGCTTGGGAGCCCAGCCCGTATTTTCTCTATAAATACTCCCCTTGGGAGTAGTTATAGGGGTTACAAATTCATTCTATTGAAGCATATTATTGCACTTCTCTCTCTAGCTCTCACTTCTCTCTAGATATACTCTATCAATATATATATATATATATATATATATATATATATATATATTGATAGAGTATATCTAGAGAGAAGTGAGAGCTAGAGAGAGAAGGGCAATAAAAGGATGGGAGATTTCAACAAATAGGACTTAATCATACTAATTTTCCAAAATTAAGATTATAGATTAAGGTAAGACTTAAGTACAGGAGCTTTGACCAAATTGCCCTTCGTTTTAAAACCCTGATCTGTAGCCCCACACCCCAGCCGCTGCATCCTCCACAGAGCTACTGTCATCGCCACCTCCATGGAGCTGCCGCCGTCGCTGTCAGGGAGCCGCCGTCGTTGTTAGGGAGCCATCACCACCGTCACCGTCAGGGAGCCGCCGTCACTGTTAGGGAGCCGCTGTCTAGTGAATCTGCCCGCACCGTCCTATTGTACAGTCTCGTCCAGTGAATCTGCCTGCACCTCAGGTGAGTCTGTCACAGGCCTCCAACGAGGCCACACTTCTGTCCTCCGGCAAAGATGCTACCGCCGTGCTCTGGCGAGGTCACTGCCGCATACACGCTCTGCCATGCTTTTACCTAGATCCAAAATCAAACTTGCAAACACTAGACATTAAGTAGTCAGTAAACAGACAATAATTTCGAATAATAACTCAATTATAGACAATAAATAAACAATAAATTCTGATAACAATAATTTGATTGCAGAGCATGAAAGAAAAGAGATGGTTCGATGTTTCCAGTGATGAAACTGCTTTGAGAGATTGCCAAGAGGCATGGCAGCAGCGGCGGAGGAGATTGAGGGAGGAGGTCGCCGGCGGAGTTGAACCGCGACTTGGACGGTGAGGCAAGGCAGAGATCTGGACAGCGAGGCGAGGCGGAGATCCGGACGGCGAGGCGAGGCGAGGCGGAGATCTGGAGGAGAGGCGACGCGGAACAACGACAGGTACGGCAATAACAGCTTGGGATGGTGAGGCGGAGCAGCGATGAATTGAAGATAACCTCTTTGCAGATGAACAGGAGTAAAGCCTGAAGGGCAAATTTGGAAAGTTAGAAATAGATTCCCCAATCTAGAACTAAATAGGTAATATGAATGGAAAAAACATTAGCAGGTATTATTTTTGTAAAAGAGCTATGATTTGGTCCTATTAGGAGCAAATTTCTCTTAAAGGAACGACTCTGCGTGGTGATTTAAAGATGTGCTTTCCTAATTTATACCTCGTCATTGAGGATGTTTTCTTCAACAATAATCAGAAACATATATAGAAATTGCCCTGAATAAAAGTAAAAGCATTTTAAAATTTCAATGTTTAAAGCCCGATAATGCCAAACTTGAGAGAAATTACTCATATTAGGGAATAAAAACATGACAGTCATATTTTAAAATTTTAAAACATTTTTACTCATATTTAGGGAATTTTGTTAAGCATATATACATGAGATACACCTAAAAATGTGCTCTTTTAAGCAACAAATGATAAACACCTTTCAAGATGGTTGGAGTCCGTTCAAGGATTTGCTACATGATTTCCACACCATCGTAAACCTTTGTCTCTATTACAGACCTAGCACAGGCTAGGCCCATAGCAAAATCATAAGTCCAGGTGTATAAGACTAGCCGATTAGGAGGATGGGACACCTAACTTATAAGCTACCGGTCAATCCCCTAATTGACGTTATAGTCTCCAAACTGATATATACTTTATACAATCTTGTAATCTAACTCATCAACTCATTGTGGATAATGTTGTATGGCAACAAGATCAAAGAATAAGAACATTATATGTAGTCTTGGGTAGTTAGGTCCATCACTTCCAAATCACAACTTCAAGCGAGACACATCAAATTCATTGGAGTTAATTAGTGAATGAAAGAATTGTTATTTGTTGAATTGTGTGAAATATCGAGTCAATATATAGAATGTTGGATCACTTCAAAAAAAATGTTCAGAATAACTTAGATTAAATCAATGTTGACCCAAGAAATAATTTGGTTGAAGTAGAAAATCAAATGACTGTGGTACCATACGTCCATACGTATAGTAAATTAAATTAGCAAAATGGATGGGTTCTAAATTGTGTCAAAACACCAAATATATTATTATAGTACTTCAATTCGTATTATTTATAATATTTACTTAATTGACATGATAAACGTTTGCAGTTTTATAAGGAAAGATTTAGCAATTAGCAGGTAGAATAGTTAGCAGCAAGTTGTTTAGGGTTTACTAAGAGTATTATATACTACTTCCAGTCTTTTTGAGTTGTAACATTAGAGAATTTTAAACTATTCTCATACTAGATTTTATTTATTAATATATTATAGATTAAATATTTGAAAAATATAGTTAAATTCCTAACATTTTAAATTTTAAAAATTTTTCTAATAAAGAATGAAATTAGATATATTAATGCTCAACATGTACGTTACCAAATGTGAAAATTGAAGCCTTAAATCTTAAATGTATGCCTTTTTTTACCTAGCTTTCTCATTTTCTTTGATTTTTGGGCAGGTAGAGCTAGCGGATTCGGCGTCTCTGCCTGGACTACCCAGAATTGGAGGGTGCCTGGCAATTGTAAGCTCTCAGATCAAAAAAGGGATGGTAGGAGATCAAGGGTCTTATTTTTTACACAGATCTCAACGCTTGAGTTTTAATCTCTGCCATTAATTTTAGCAAGGCACTCTACTTAAGGTAGAGGATCTCAATCCAGAGCTAGCCGAGTCTATCCTTTCATAAAGTGAGCCGTGGTTGGGTTCCGCCTAACATAGCGGTCGGACTCAGCTCCTCTTCCTCACCAAAGAAAACGAGAGAGACCGCTTAACCCAATGATAGCTATTTCATTTAAGTCCCCCATCTGCCCTTCATTAAATTCTTCGTTTCATATAGTGCAATTTTCAGTCTTTATATAGACCTATCATTTCCTCCATATTTCCTAGCTCTTAGTGGCTAATGACATAACATAACAAATAAGGGCTTTCTCCACTCCAATAGTTATATATATCTCCCCCAAAGAAGCTGGAATAGTGGCAGTTTCATCATGGCACCACACACCAACTCATCAGCCAAGCCCAAATACCTCAAGGTCGTCTACCAATACATAGTCAACCATTTCCTAACGTTGTTGCTGGTTCCGGTCACCGCCGCGGTCACCGTTCAGGTCCTCCGATTAGGCCCCGAAGAAATCGTAATCTTTTGGAATTCCTTAATCCACACGGATCCTCTCACAGTCTTGTGTTCTCTTTTCTTCGTCGTCTTCGTCGCCACCGTCTACTTCATGTCTAAACCTCGTTCCATTTATCTCGTCGACTACGCCTGCTACAAAGCTCCGGTGAGCTTTCGGGCTCCGTTTTCCGCCTTCATGGAACACTCTAGACTGAATCTCAAAGACAATCCCAAGAGTGTGGAGTTCCAAATGCGCATTCTTGAAAGGTCAAATTCAAACCTTCAACTTTAAATAGATAGTTTTCCTATAATAGTGGCAGAATTAGAAGTTTAGTATCAAGCGTCGCGAAATGCTCATATATAATTAGGCATATTTTATACTATGATTCCATTACTATTCTAATCACTAGTCACATTTTTGTAAACAATATTTATTTTAGTCATACACATGCAATTTTTTTAGTCATACACATACAATTATTTCTAATTTTTAAGTATTTATACATATTTATTATACTACATATGTTGATTTTTTCGCCCTCCATGATTTAGTGGTTGGCTATAATAATGTAAGGGTATGACTTACACCATACTAATTAGGTTCATTAGCTAGCTCTATACCTGGCTAGATAATCAAACTTTTGGTGTATTAATATTAGAATTCAAACGGTATCAAATAAACCTAAAGAAACTGTCTTAAATATGAATAAAAGTATTTGGCAATTTCAGAATATAAGTGTTATGCTTTTATTATCTATATTATCTAAGTATGAATAATTACACTTATAATAGTATACCGTTATCTTTAAACTTTGGCAATGAAAAAACATGTTAACAAATTTTTGAGATTTTCATTATTAGATTAAAATATCCTATTTAATAGAGAGAGAACATATGTCACTCTTAATTTGGAATTCGCACCAGAATTCTCATAAACCTATTGTCTTTTACTTCCGTAGAAGCTCGCTTAATTGAAATCAAGAATGGATTATTCCGGGTAATTGCATATCTATTTATATTCGTTTAATTTGTTCACTTTTTAAATTTTAACTTTATTGCATAAAAATTGACTTTATATGCCTTTTTTGTATATTAAAAAAAACTTTTTTATGTATTGACTTTTATATTTACTTTCGGAAGACTGTAAAAATAAAATATGGTTATTTTTATGGGAAAAAATTTTCTTTTCGAAAATATCGTTTGAAAGACTGTTTTTGCGGAGAAGTGTACAATCGTAATGAGAAGATCCATGTTGATACACTTTAATATATTCACACCATATAAAGTAAAATCAGGTGAGTTAGGTAAATAAACTATGTACTTCATGTGATGCATATAATGTTACGAGGTGGAAAATGTCCTTTATTTTTACACTCCCGTATTTTCTTTTCATATTTTCGTCACCTGCTAATTTTTTCTTCAAACATCATGAATTATACCGAGTATGTATTATTTTATAATTTAAAATTAACAATTCTTAGAATTTGTTACAATTTGTTACAATTTGCATTTTTTTGATTTTATACTATTGTATTAAAAGTATTTCTATTGAATAATTGAAGGCATACTATATACAAGTATTTATCAATTCATTAGTTCATTTATTTTTATATTTACACCGTCCATAAGAATGAAGAAAAAATGAATTTATATTTATTACCAGTAATTCATAAATATAATATTTATATTTATATTTATATTTATATTTATATATACTAAAATATTTATATTTAGGGCTAGTTTATGATGAAAAAGACGTAAGCAACTATATAGACCTACCACGTAGGCGGAATTTAATAGGGCGGTGATTACCACACAACTAATTATTCTAATAATTATTTTGATTGAACAGGTCTGGCCTCGGGGAAGAAACTTGTCTCCCTCCGGCGATTCATTACATTCCGCCGAAGCCCACCATGGATGCCGCCAGGGGCGAGGCGGAGATGGTCATTTTCTCCGCCATTGATTCTCTCATGAAGAAAACAGGTCTCAAACCCAAAGACATCGACATTCTCATAGTCAACTGCAGCTTGTTTTCTCCTACTCCATCATTATCAGCTATGGTTGTGAATAAGTACAAGCTGAGGAGTAACATCAAGAGCTACAATCTCTCCGGTATGGGGTGCAGTGCCGGATTGATTTCAATCGACCTGGCACGTGACCTTCTTCAGGTCCACCCCAACTCCAACGCTTTAGTCGTCAGTACCGAGATCATCACTCCCAACTATTATCAAGGCTCGGAAAGAGCCATGCTCCTCCCGAACTGTCTCTTCAGAATGGGCGGGGCCGCAATCCTACTGTCAAACAAGACTCGGGATTCCGGCCGCGCCAAATATAGGCTCATACACGTCGTCCGCACCCATAAGGGTGCGGATGACAAGGCATACCAGTGCGTGTACGAGCAGGAAGACCCCGAGGGTAAAGTGGGGATAAACCTCTCAAAAGACCTCATGGTGATCGCCGGAGAAGCGTTGAAATCTAATATCACGACGATCGGCCCGCTCGTCCTCCCAGCTTCTGAGCAGCTCCTTTTCCTCTTCACCTTAATCGGGAGGAAGATCTTTAACCCGAAGTGGAAACCCTACATCCCGGACTTCAAACAAGCGTTCGAGCACTTCTGCATCCACGCGGGTGGGCGAGCAGTGATCGACGAGCTCCAGAAAAACTTGCAGCTCTCAGCGGAGCACGTGGAGGCATCGAGGATGACACTCCATAGGTTCGGAAACACTTCATCATCATCGTTGTGGTACGAGCTGGCTTACATTGAAGCCAAAGGGAGGATGAAGAAGGGAGAGAGGGTATGGCAGATAGCGTTTGGGAGTGGATTCAAGTGTAACAGTGCGGTTTGGAAGTGTAACCGCACCATTAAAACAGCCATGGCTGATGGACCGTGGGCGGATTGCATTCATCGGTACCCTGTGCACATCCCAGAAATCGTCAAGCTCTGATTTCTTTGAAGTTACAACTCATAGAATTACTATTACATATATATACGAAACGAAATGTGTTAAGACATGGAGTTCCATTAAATCTTGGTCTTCATTACCATCTTTTCTTTACTCTTTTTTTTTCATGTGTTTATTTCCATACCTGTATGATTTGTACGTGCTCTTGAGGTGGGTGAAAAGTCTGTAAAGCATCTTGAAGCTGCATTTAATTTAGTGATGTAAGTCATAACAGATTAGTATTGATGTGGAAATATACAAATTAAAGTATGAAATTTTCTTCTTTTCTTTTTTTTTAGGTTTTCGTACAGATATATATCAAATACCATAAATGGAGATATATCATTGTAGGGTCTCTAGTTAAAAAATACAGCACGTATTGTTGGCTTAATTAATGCCTACAGAGTAAGTAGCTCGGTATTTTATTTAGTCCTTCAGCAGGACGTACATTGTTTAACATTTATTGAGCTGATTTCTTCATGCATTCATGTAGAGAGAGCTGCAAAGGGGTCACTCCATCAACTCATCAAGTTCTGCTCTTGTGGATTAAGTTTTGGGAAACGTCTTTTAGTCGTTCGACTAGAATGTTAGTGACACTTTTGATAATCAACTTTGATTTTTCCAATGTTAATCACTTGAATATTGAAAGATACATTTTTTTTTGCGAACTTGTAAGATACACTTTTAGCCTATAGACTTCAGAACTTCTCACACTTAATAACCTAGGTAATGTGAGATTTAAACTTTTAGTTCCCCTACTATGATTTTACCATAATAAATAGAAGACTAAAATGAAATTGAAAGACTAAATATTGAAAATTTCAAAGACGAGTATCAAAAGTGTCTCTCGCACAAATTCAAGTCTGACTATCAAAAGTCAAAACTTTTAGGACCAAAACAAATTTGAACATATGCGATAGTATATCATATCAAACCCAAACATATAAGACTAGAGCACTTGATCCAAAGTGAAACCATCCTCAAGGACAACTGTTTTTTTATAGCACATTTCAATATTTCCTTGAAATACATTATTTTTTAGGAAAAATGGATAAGAATAAACTCAGCTATTAGTGATCCGCTTGAAATAATCCAAGGTATCATTTATCTCAAAATAATCCCAACTATTGAAAAAAAATCTCAAAATACTCCAGTGATTTATAATAACCCGTAAATGGCTTACAATAGTTACGAGCCAGTGGAGCATTTTGAGATCTTTTTTTCAATAGTTGAAATTATTTTTTGAGATAAATGATACTTTGAATTATTTCAAGGAGATCATTAATAGTCGATTATTTTTATCCATATTCCTTATTTTTATGCATGCATTGTTCCCTTCTCAAACTGTTTTTCGAAACACAAATGAATAATTGAATAAAGAATTAATAATCATGAACTGCAGCAAAATTTATGTGCCGTTGACCCCACCCAAATTTATATGCATACGTGGATGGTTTGTTATGTGCATACGTGGATGGTTTGTTTTCTTCTAGTGATAGAATACGGCACATAATAGGCTGCTAGTTGGGGACTCCGAAGGTGGATATATATGATGATCCTATTAGTTTTATTAATTGGTTTGTACCACGACCCTTTCATAGGAGAACGACATGATCTAATTAAAAATGGTCATGTCCCTGTTATGTTAGGTTATTCTCAAGGCAAGACTGACAAATGTGCAATATTTTATTCGAAACTAAAGAAGATGGATACATTGAAGCATTTACTTCAATGAGATGGATATACACAGCAGATCATATAGCTAATGCACTTGCATTTGACACCACTTACACTGTTTGGCACTGTTTTAACACTGTTTGACACTGTTTGATACTGTTTTAATGTAGATAATTTGTCAAATAAAGAAATGTTTGAAAGTGGAACTTAATTTTGAATCTGCCCGAAAAGGAAAGGTGGAACTTGTTTCAGAAACTGAGGAAGTATTAGCCTTGGAGCTTATTTGCAAATCATGTCATATTATTCCACATTTAGGACTTTTCCACGGGAGCATATTTGCGGAAGAAATTTTCATGTGGGCAGCAACTTTTTTGGTAGAATTTTTGCCCAGAATAGTATACTCTGATTTTTCATGAAAATTAAGTAACGGACTAATAACTAGGTTATGTATAAGTTATGAGACTAAAATGGGTAAACTTCGTATGAATGGCTAGATCAAGATATCATAAAGGCATAAGCAAAAAAGAACACCAGGATATAGTCAAAAACACCAAAAGGAAGGGGAAAACTAAGTGACTACACAAAGAACAAACCGATCAGACTGAGAAATCTATAAAGCAGAAAATTATATGAAATGGGTCTATGATCTATCTCTTGGCAATATATCCATTGTCATGATCAGAGTGATGTAGGAGAGAACGTGTAAATTGTAATCATCATACAGAGATCCTAAGATCATTGCTTCCTAGTTTTTGTTTTACAGATCGAGGTCGTATATGAATTAAACATAGGTTTTCAGTAAAAAGTTAACTAAGAGATATAACAATATTAACCATAAAGTAGATGTTTCACCTCCTTGGCCTTCTCAGGTTGGCATATATTTTTCCACAGATAACATTGAAGCTGTACAAATTATGATGTTGTGCAATCAACCAAGACAATCAAAGCATAGAGGCTAAATTGACATCATTCTACTTGCCATTAGTCTTGTTATCAGAAGCTCTTTATCACACAGGCAGCCACTCCAAGCTAGATTTTTCCTAATAGTAGCAGATTATCAGTCAAAGAAGTAATTTCACCATAGGGCGCACTTGGCGCACCCCTGTTACTGCTTGGCGCACCGAATTTTACCCCTTGTCTGACAATTTCATCCTTCTTATTTCTTCACGGGTCATCTGTTCTCACTTTTTATTCCGCTCCAAGGAAGCCAAGATTATTTGTGTTTTCAATTGATCCATTAATTTATGATTCTTTATTAATTATTAATATACTACGTTAGTTTATCTCATGATTATCATCTCATTAATATACTACGTTAGTTTAAATATTAGAGTAATAATATTATACTTTAAATCTTTTCCTACGGAGTAGTTAGTTTCGTCTAAGTTATTTTATATTTTAGAATTAGAATTGTAGAGTAATAATTTTTAAAAATAAATTGTTATAATAAATTCTTCTAGTCATTTTTAGGATGTTTTTACTTAGGATCTTTCAACTATCAAATTTCGATAGTTGTATAAAACAGTTAGAAAAAAAACACCCGCACAAAAACATACATCTAATAGGGTAGACCAGTTCAAACTAGACCAGACCAAACTTAAATAGAACAAATAAGACAAGATTATATCATATTAGATTAGACCAGTAAATTTTATTTCAATTAAAAAACATCTTTATTTGTATTATAATAATAATTTAATGCCACCCAATAATTAATTTTTGTCAAACTAATAAGTACACTTCAAATAGCAATTGTCTTTTTATAAATTAACGGCTCCTATATAAGTTAGAATGTTAGTTTAATACGTAGTATTTTTTATTTATCCAAAATTTTAAATATAAATAAGCATATACGAAACTTAGATATTAACGGCTTTTATATTATCCTATACTATATCGAACTTAGATATTAGTAACACATATACGAAACTAGATCAGATGAGATCAGAATTGAACAATTCTGAATGTTTAGGTTTTTTGGGGTTATTGAAAAAAACTTTTTGTGCTTTGAAACTCGAGAGATTATATTTTGATTATTATTTTTATACTTTTCTAGTGTATTTTTGACTAATTAAAACCATTATAAATTTGAGGCACATGTGTTGCAAATAAATATGTTTCTTTTTGTACATTTAATGAGTTACGAAGTACTCTGTATTAAATATGTGTAAATATACATTTATCGACAGTTCACGAGACTTGACCAGATTTTTTTTTAAATTACATATATGATATTGGTGTCATATGAAAGATCATAAAAAAATATTTAATTTGGTATAATTTCTATAAAAATTGGTGTAAAAATGAAAAAGTTATGACATTTCATAAAAAAAGTAATTACTTGATACATGACACACTTTTATTGGATGTATAACTAAGGTTGAAATTCCTATGGACAAGAGATAGCCGAGTCTGGAGCTAAGGAGGTGCGCATAGCCTTTTTAATTAACGTTGTAATTACTAAGAAGGCTAAATTTGTCCATTAAGGGTTACATTAAGAAATTTTGGAGGTGCAGGAAGCAACCCAAGAGACTGCTGAACCCTGAAAGGGAGGAAATTGCTCAGGAAAGTCATTTTGATTTTCTTGTGTTTGGTACTATCACGAAAATACAAAACAAAATGAAAAATAATTAACTGTTCTTCAGTTTTTTTTGCATGTTTAGATGTTACAGTCTTAAATCTCTATAAACTAATTTAGTAAATGAAATGAATTTGTAAAAATATGTTAGGGATCTAC